TTTTTAGCCTTTTTCTTTCTAGCGCAAAATCGCACAAATTGCCAAGGCAGCACATTTCACTCTAGTGAGCTTCATATTCCTCTTCTACTCTTTTTGCTTCAGATAGACAAGTCTGAGTAGTGCCATCTCACTGCGGAGCTGAATCCTACCTGGTTTTTAGATGTACAGTGTGAGCAGGTAGATCGCATTTGAGCGTCGGGCCACACAGTGTGAGAACAAACATCGTGAGCAGTGAACTTTTAAACCCCGCGGATTCATCGCACAGTGTGATACAAGATCTACGGTTTGGTTCACGGTTTTCGGTTCGGTTCAGTATATGTTGATTGTTAGGAAAATCTATTATGTCTTGTATAGTTGCACAATGCTTGCACACTGTTGCACTTTTATCCACAGCTTTCTTTCCGCCGTCATCGTAGGTCACTCTAAATGCAAAGTGGTCCCATACAGCAGACCTATAAAGTGCTGCTGGCGCGTCTTCCAACTCCTGTTCTTTCCCACTCGCCATACCCACACAATTCTCCACAGCAACTGATTTTTTTCTGCTACACCCGCCTACGCTGCTTCGCTTGTTCTTCTTCTTCTTGTTTACTACTGGTGGTTGGCTGTGGTCGCAGTACCGCCACCTTCTGCTCTGGAGTGCACACGCTTCGCCTATGAGAAAAAGGAGCAGTGCATGAACCGAACGCAACACACGCGAATCGAACCGAGACAGTCGAACCGGTTCGGACGGTTTTCATAAACCGTTTCATCCCTAGTGTGAGCTGTAGCTGCGTGAGATGATTGAAAAATGGCACAGTGTATGCCTGGCTTTACTTATTAAAGGAGTTATTTTCTTATCCCTGATTTTTCTAGATGCCGTTTATTTTTTTTTCAAAGCTTCATTAAATTTTTTGCAGTTGGTTTTACATTCTTCACCTTCAAAGTGTTCAAAGATTTTAATCACAGAGAAATTAACACTTTAGTGAAAAAAAATCTATGCATAAAACATTTACTGAGGAGAACAGATTTTTAGAACCAGCTGGATGGAAACTGTAAACTAGAGATCAGTGCATCTTTCTGATTTGTTGCTCTTTTTTCTTCTTTTTTACCTAAAGCCATATTTCTGTTTTCTTACCAACCTGGGATGACGCTGTAGCTGGACTGCAGTTGGGGGCCGTTCGTGTAAAAGGTCAGGGTTCCAGCATCTCCTTGGTTTCCTCCTGGTTTCTCTGGGATAGCTGGACCAGGAACCAGTCTGATCTTCAGAGGTTTAGAGCGTCCTTCTTTGGTCCGAGTGACGCCTGCAGGTCAAAGCAGGGTTAATTTTATTTAGTTTTATTTAGCTCCTATTTCTACAGATTCTAACAGTACGTTTCTGTGGATTGTTTTAGTTAATCTAACTCATAAACGGTACATCAGGCATGCAATAACAAGACCAGTCTCACCCTGCCCGTCCCTCCTTCTCTTCCCTTTGCGTCTCTCTCCTTCGTGGTTTCGATGTCTCCCCCCAGCCTGAACGTCGGGGAGGATCAGGACCCCCAGGAGCCCCAAAGCGGCCCACACCAGCCACCACCTCATTCCTGCAGAGCGCCACAGATTAAACCTCAGCTCTAATATACTCTCTACTATTCTATCTACTGCATCAGTACCTGAAAAGCAAACACAATCTGAACCGTCAGAAGTTTTTTTACCTGCAGCAGCTTCTCAGAAAAAGGAGAGCAGTGGCGCTCCTGGCCCTCATATAGCTCTGCTGTGCTCCCTAATGGCCGGTTCCTTGGCAGAGTGTGTGTTTAATGACTGGTCTGAAGCAGCGGACCTATCATTATTAAAGCAGAGAGATCTGAGGCTAACAGACACCTTCACTGAGCTGATTGTCTGATCGCAGCAGGATCAGCAGCTCTTTCTGTCTAAAGCTGTAATAAAGCTGCTGCTGTTAAATCATCCGAGCCTCTGATTCAGGTCCAGGTTCAGACGTTTAGAAAAGCTGCTTGGAAAGAAAGCTTCAAACAGAGTTTTAGGCAGGGCGCCCTTCGTATGATTTTCTCTCTGATTTATTAACCAGATTTATCAATCCCTTGTCAGGTGTAGTTTTTGATCCATACCACTAGAGGTCAGTACCTCTTACATCCAGCTGCTCTGAAACCAAGTTAAAGTTGATTGACATACAGTGGCATAGCTGGACTTTTAAAAGAGGGATGGCGAGGTATTATTTGAAGATTGGGGCAATATATAAAGGGTTCAATTACTCTACAAGCAATAATCTTTTTCCGTAAAACGTATATTGATTAAATTTAAGCTGTTTATCTTCCAAAATGTATACAATTATGTACAAATCCCATAGTAAACAAAAACTGGAGGTAAATTTGGACCTGCCAAAAACAAGGCAGAACAAGCAGCGGTGAACATTTAAATGTTTACCACAGGAAGAAGAATAGAACAACCAAACAGAAAAAACATGAAGCCCTTTAAAACTGACTAACGTTGACCACTGCCCAGTGATATGACAACACCAAGGTCACAAAAACAATCAGAACAGCAAAATTCGACAATTCTGGTGAGATGAAGCAAAATGTTATTCCATATTTAGGGAATATGCACTCCTTGACTCAACACTGAGTATGGCCAGATGACTTAATCTGCCATCTGCCATTGTTGTCCTAAGGTGGGTTTTTATTAATTTAAGTGCAGAGAAGCTTCTTTCGCAGGAAGCAGTGTTAACTGGAATCATAACGGGAATTTTAGTCAGCCTAAAAAGTTCTTGGAAAACCTCTTTATAAGTTTCTAACAACACAACAAACTCAAGTAGAAAAGTTGGTCTCTCTCCACTTTTCTCCCTTCTTTAAAGAAGCCGTCTCGTTTAATGAAGCTCATGCTTAAGGTCTTCTAAGTCTGACTTAAATGTTTTCCTAAAAGCTAGCAGAGGCTCCTCTTTTAGGAATGATGGGCTTTTAGGGTCAGAGACTGCACTCCTTCCATTATCTCACAGTTCTTTTTGGAAAATCACCTCTATTTCTGCTTTAAGACGATCAAGTACCTGATAGAAAATGTTTCTATTGAGCTTTTCATTATTTTCAAACTCACAGAGCCTCTGTCCAGCTAATTACATGTGAGCCCAGAAATTTGGTATTGGTCTTTGGTCGTCTTTTGTTTTGTGCTTTAGTGACAATGTTGCAGTGGTGCGCAAGTTCTTCAGTCTCCTTCCATAATTCACCAAGTGTACTATATCACTTCTGTTGCTTTTTAACGTGTCTTTAAGGGAACCAACCAGATCTATTGCTCTCACCAGATAAAGACTTCTGGATTGGAGCATGTCAGACAGGATTTCCACGTCCCCAAACTCTTCACAAAAAGTAAACAAAAGTTCTATAAACTGTAGCTTAATTTTGGCTAAAAGACCCTTTGCTTTATTTTCCTGTCTCCACTCTTCTTCTCTAGTGAAATGTTTTGCCAGATCCTTAAAATAGCTGGAAGCCTGTCTCTCATAGTTCACCATGCCATCCTGCAAGCCCACCTAACATCTGAAAGTCCTTAAAGTTCCCTAGGTTTTTCATATGGGTACATTACTTTTTGAACATCAATCCACTTCATTTGGACAGCAGGAGCAGACATGAGAGTAGTTATTGAAGTAGTAATACTCCTAGGTAAT